TTGAGCATTTGCCTGAGCTTCTCTGACATAAACTGAATCGAAACACTTTATTTTCAACGAGCAGACCCTAGAGGAGTCCAAGGGTTTATCCATATGCCATAGGGTAGGAGAGTCCCGTTATGTAATACACCCAAAAGCACATGACTGGTGCCCCCTCCATAGTCGTGCTAGCGGAGAGTTTCACTGACCGGTTCCCAGAAACGATCCGTTTCTCCGAACCGAAGAAAGTCTTGGGTCCTGGAACTTTTTCGTCAGGGGTAAAATCGTCCTGCAATCAGCAATTGTTAAAAAAAAAAATGCGTCAGCGTCAAACTTACATTTCTATTTTTGCATTCGCTTTTTCACATACCATAAGTGATGAGAGAACTTCTGGCCAATCGAGACCGGAGAATGGTCTTAACGTTCATGAATGTTGTCGGGTTGTCTCCGCAAAAGGCGCCTTTTACCTCCTCCAGTTTTCCCAGCATGGTGACGATCGTGTTATGGAACCGAAGCTGTGCATCCACCTTTAGCTGAATGAAAGACCATATAGTTTTCCTTTAGATACAGAGAGTGGGAATTAGAATGAAGGTAATGAAGCGCTTTCACCTGTTCTCAAGCAGTCGATAGCAAACAAATGCGAAAATAAAGTGCAAACAGCTCAAATATTCGGAACCCAATCTGTATACGATGAAATAGCGAGTGACATTAGCTTATGACGTAACTTCTGCTACTATTAATATTTGGTACGAGAATAGACTGCTGTTTTAAGTGATTTACGAGAATCGTTTAGCAAGATCGAATTAGCAAAACAAAACGAAAACGCATTTAGTAGTAGATGAACATTACAAGCCCCGTGTGCTTTGGAAAGCATGGATTGCATTTGCGGATCGAAGTGGCAGAAGAGATCTAATGCATGTTTTAGAAAGCAACATAATCAAATAAAAATTATATTTCTGTAGACATTTCGGTGCAAGCCATTCATTTATTCTTTTTTTCAGAAGCAACGCATATGCCAACAGAACGTGAATAGAGCCTACCTACATACCAGAATACAAAAAGTTCATAATTACCGAGTTCGTTGTGGGCCGTGTGCGGGTGGCCGCAGTAAGTTCACCACTCAGGGTGGTGCGTTCCACCGTGCAGAAAGTCCCGGTAGAGTTCTTTAGACGAGCAATCCGAGCAGAACCCTCGTCTGATTCCCTTCATGGCAACGTTCGTTGCCATTGCCTCACTGTGAAAACAAGATTTTGAACAGTCAGTCATTTGACGCCCATAGTCAACCTAGCCCTAAAGCGCCTAAGAAAAAAAAAATAGAAAAAGAAGTTCTGTTTATACATTTTTCGCAGATGTACCACACAGAAAAAAAAAATTCAACCAGCTACAGAAAACAAAGAGCATAATAGACATCATGAATAAAACCTCCGAAAACAAAAACATGGTCAACGCCGAAAAAAGAAATAAAAAAACCGGTAGTCTTGCCGGCGCGACCGTCAAAATATAACGAACAAAAAAGTACGCCAAAAAAATATAAAAAAAATATATATATATACTCCCGGGCTACCGCTCCACCCTTCCCTTCTTTCCGCAGACGCCGCGACGCCGACGCAACCCGACGCGCGTTTTTTTTTTTTTTTTGTGGGGTTTGAATTAGAAGCTCGTCCACCTCCCTCCCCCCCCCCCCCCCCCCTTTTCACATATATGCATACACATTATGGGTTTTTGCTCGCCTCCCGCTTGAGAAAAAAGTTCATAATCACTGCAACGCTAACGATGTTTACAACATAACGTTGCAGTGTAAATTGCTGTAATGAATTCTGAAGGCAAACAAACGCAAAATCGCCAACATTGTTTCCGTCAATCAACGCTCTCGGGCGGTCAACCTCAAGCATTTAGTGCACACCGAGAAAGAAATCGGCGAGCCAAGCTTACAAACACTGACAGCCCCAGCTAGGGTGCCTTTTTGTTGGCTATGCCTTAGGGAGGGCGATGCATGCCATCCTTTGTAGTACCCGATGCCGACAGTGTACGCTCACGGATAAAATAAAAGGAAATTGCCGGTAATCAAATGCCGGCGTAGCAGTGCCAAAGCTAGCAGCTCGAGCTGGGAGAAGAACGAACGCGCGTTCAAAATTAAAAAGTAGACAAAAGCGTCGGACAGAAAATGGGCTGATATCACCAGTTTAGGACATACGCGTACACATTGGGACACCCTAGCCCGCTAAAAGTGTTTTGTACGAAAGACAGCCCTGCGGCTCACGGCAGGGCAAACGATTAGCGACGCTTTGTCCTTAGCTGAACGAGCAGATCCAGGAAGCGACTGCGTCCGCAGACTACAGCTGAACACTCTCTCTCTACATGCATAGGTCGTGCATCTCACAGCCAGCGTGAAAATATTGATGGCTCGTTATTCCCACCCGCAATGTACCCAAAACAAAAGTGTCAATATGGCAGGATTACTCACCCGAAGGAAGTCAAACGAGCAGCATGACGCTTGCGGCTCTCCGGCAACGACCGTTTCCAGCTCTCCGTGAATTGGCGCGAAGCCTCAGCACCATCCGAACTCTTTGCCGTGGATTAGTGCGCCTGCCCCTCTCCTCCTGACCGAACTACATTGGTCCAGTTAAGAGGGACCAGTCCCCTCTTATTATGAAGGGAGACGCGTGAATCTTTCTGTCGGTCTTTCCTGTTCAGAGGGACCAACGAAACGGTTTCCTTGGTCTCTCTTAATATGTTGGTGTCCCTCTAGATGTTGCTATTTTATTTTTCAATTTCCCTCTTAACAAGAGCTGTCCCCCTGAACGCATTGTTGTCCCCTCTAAAATCAGAGGGACATCGTTTTTTATGAGAGACCGGTTTTAGAGTGTAGGTCTCTTCTTTGTCAAATTTGTCAAAGTTACTTTTAGCTTGCCGGCAAAACTCAATTTTTATCAACGTATATGTTACCCAAGCGTAGTTACCGACGTGCATGCATTGCCATTAAAGATGCCTTTCAGATATTTAGAAGACTTAACGAGTTCTTCGACATGTTAAAATATCTGCTTTCTTGCTTGGCACAGGTTGTGCCGAGTAAGCAGGGAAGTCGTGCAGGGTAGCAACGCTTCCCTGTACAGATTAACCATGTATAATTAACTTGAGATTGGGGTAGAAAGGAAACATCAAAACGTAAAAGGGACAAACCATAGAGGGGACGATGTCTCAAGCTGAGCAAACTCGTTTATACAGTCCTGTATATTTTCTGGCCCTTCTACGATTTTGTTTTCTTTCTACCCCAGTCTCAGGTTAATTCAACATGGTTCATAATCACCAGATCGCCTGCACTTTACTATATTTTCTCTGCTCACATTCTTTTCGAGCCAAATACCACTTCATACTTTTAATTCGATTAATCCACTACGTAGGTTGCTGCGATTGTGTGCTCTGCGGTTTAAGATGTCATCTTAAGCACATTGAAACAAACACAAGTTAAATGTAAAAGATATGATAAATAGATCTGTCATATACTCAGTATGTGATATATTGCAAATTACGCGAGCATGTTTTGTTCTCTCAAATCTTTAAGCCACCCCAGCTTACATGATTTTTAATTTGAGTCCCAACATGATTTTAGAAAATTGAATAAGCTGTATTGTGATCTACTTACCAGTGTTGATGGAGGTTAGCAGATTGACTGTGCATTCTGAGAATTTAGGAAATCGTTCGACACTGCATCAGACTCAGTTATTACACAAGTTAGAATTTCAGGCATCACCATTCCTATCTTCAAGTGGATAAGGGTGTGTCTATTCTTACGTCGTCAATGTGTTGTCCAAACCAGAGCAACATTTAATTTTGTTGTCGTTACATCTGGCGTCCCGGAAGGTCTCGTGGTGGTGCTTTTGTTATTTTTAATATTTGTCCATGATATTAATGACGAATGAGTTTCAAGGTACGATTGCTTGCCGATGATTGCCATTTACGGAAATCTAACGGAATAGGAGAACAGTTGCATAATAACTTGATTAGGGTTACTCGAATGTCCATTAAGTGGAAGATGATGCTCAACGTAAAGAAATGTGCCCATGTTAGTTTGACTCGAGAAAAAAAATTGAAACTCAATATCAATTGAACAAAGAAATTGTATCAAACGAAGAAACTTGAAAATATCTAGATGTCAAGCGTTCAGCTGATCGCAAGTGGAACGCACATATCAGCGATGTTATTATAAATTTCTGCGCTGAAACTTAAAAAAAAAAACAGTTTATAAAAGAGCTGGACATGTTGCCTCAACACCTTTTTAGTTTACTCTTGTACCCAGCCACTTGGTAAGCATATCTGCCATGGGCGACGAAAATGATAAAACTTTGCAACCTCGAAATAGTTAAAAAAATAGAGGGGTGGCAAAACGAAAATGAGTGACGGCTACGCTATATCGTAAATGTATTCTATTTATGTGACGACAAAAAAATACCATTGGCACTCCGAAAAAAAAAATAATTAAGATTTAACTTATTATTTAGTTTCGATTATATAACCACTGGCAGAAATAAATCTTCATATCTTTTACCTCCAAATTATATTTCACAGGGTAAAGGCACATCCACGAAGTACGTGAGCTCGTATCAGGACGGAATCGAGTAAGTTACTTCTTTTAGGAACTTGCGGAAACGTTACTTGTTTTCCTGTGAAGCAGTGCTTTGGTTGCGTGTGCCTGCGCGTTCACACTCGTGCTTGCAATGGCAGAAACCTGTCGCTGAAGGCAGAGCGTCTAGTCTCAGCTAAGGGTGAACGGAGTTGAATGCCTGACGCGGGCGCTGCGGGATGATATTGAATGAAGAATAAAAAGCAGATTGTTTGGGATGAGCACCGATGATCCGTCATAGTAGGAACGTGTGTGCAGCGTAATGAAAGATGGACACAGTGAAATATATTTCATCCGCGATTATTCTTTGCAAGACGGCAAGAATAAAAACTTCACCCAGACTGGCGAAGAGCAGAAAAGAAGGGAACCGCCGTGCATATTTGCGGCAGTGGAGATGTATCTAGACACGTGGTAATGGGTTGACCGCGTAGCCATAGGACCGGCGGCGTAGCGACTTGCGGATGAGGGCCGGCACTCGGTCGCGCAAGGAGGCGAAGCGGCAACAGCTGCGACGTCCCAGCATGGGGCTCGCGAGCTGGAAAGGAATAGGCTTTGTGTTAGCACCTGCTTCGAGGACACGCGTGAAGACCCGTCACACAACGACCGCAAGAAACAATAAAGGAAGTGCTGCAAACCTGAAGATTTTTACCTCAAACACTAACAGAGTTGAGAATAACAGAGCAAGTGAACATACAATGCAGCAAGACCTTTTCCTGACCCCCCAGTCTCTCACCATAGAATTACCGTTGATTTATTTTAACATGCCCCATAAATAGTGACGCGAACCAATGATTCAGTGCTCCCAATAATATACGATCGAATAGCGAAATCCCAAACTCTACAAGCTAGGGCAACTTGAGGAGAGTGCCTGAACAGTACATACCTTCCACGTTGGCATGTAGCCTCGAGTAAAGAACCGCTGATTGCGAGGTGTCCTCTTGGCCTTGGTGGCCCGGAAGAAAGACGCCAGCCTCTGGCCGATTCCTCTTTTGGACGCCGCGAGTGATGGAGGCGAAAGAGCACTCAGCTCCGAGCGGGAGAACCGGAAGGCCCTCCCGGAGGTGCGAGGCCGGTGTCCATGGGACGCCTCGCCTGGAGTCCTCTTAGGTGCGGCCTCGGGGGACGTCGTTTTAGGAGAAGGCACCGGTCCCTGTTGCGGCAGGCCTGGAGACGGGCGGCTTGGCGACAGTGACGCGCAGCACGTCCCAGGCGACAGGGGAGGAATGGCGGACGGCATATCCCAGAAGCTGCCGAACACGTCCCGATACTTGGCGGCGATACGAGACTGCGACTTGGACCGCTCCGTCTGGAAGATTGAAGGTGTAATTAGATTCATGGGCCGCACACGAATTATGAGGGGCTGACGGGCAACTGCATGCTCGTGAACAAGAATATAAGGAAAGCTAATCCAGCGAAGATTCAGTGGCGAATCCCATTTCTGGAAAAGACAAACAGCACGACAATAGGCCCAGTAGATGTTATTGTACATACCGTTCCCAGTTCGAGCTTCGTTTCCAGTCCCCTCGTGAACTTGTGGCTGGACTCGTTCTCGCGTTCTTGGTAGCGTCGTCTTGATCGATCGAGTGAGAACTCGTACAAGCCTACCATGCTTTCCTCTGAATCAAAAACGAAATTAACAAGTAAATAAGCATTCGATCGCTCATTTGAACTCGAGGTGTGAAATCAAGGCATTACTTTTAAATAAGACGACGCGAGGCACATGTGAAAAAAAAAGGAAAAGGAGTACATGGGTCTAACAAAAATAGGAAAGAAATAAAAAAACAAGAAGTCCACTGAATGATGGAAATAAGAGAAAAAATACAGGTGAGTTGGTGAACTTTTAAGATTGTGAAAACCTGAGACAAAAAAAGGGAGACAACACCCACACACGCCAAAGACATGCATGGGACGTGCAGAACAAAAACTACACGCTAGCAACTTACCCTTCAAAAGTTCTCGAATCTTGCCCCTCGTGGTATGGCCTCCATCGCAACGGTTGACTGGGCTCTGGTTCTCCATGTAGTCGTTCACAGCAGCACCTTGCTCTGCCTGGTTATGTGAGAAAATATCTACATTCTGGTCCTTTTATAGCTGCCTCAATCCAGTGTCCTTGACTTTTCGAAGCCTGCGAGAAGCTTGCACACCTTTGAGTTTTCCCTCACCTTCTGACCTCATACGAAGAAGGGGAAGAGGTACCGAACGTTGTCCCCGATTGCAGAGTGTAGTGGGGGAGAGGGGGAAATGTACCTTTGTTCTCTAGGAGGGAATCTGGTTTTTTACAATCGGGTACAGAAAGTGGAACAGGGGGTGAGGGACGGTTAAGGTCACCGTCGCAGTCAAAACGCGCATATCTACGAACTAAAACAACAACAAAAAAAAAAAGTCTTTGTCTCGTTTTGGTCAATACGACGAAGCGAAAGTGGACGGAACTTCCGGTTCCGTTTGAGGGCTATGTTCTTCATATCCCTTTCTTATTATAGAATATGATAGATTTAAAAGATTCCAATGGACAAACTTCTTTTTTGCACTCTGGTGTTGTTTTTTTTTTTTTTTTTTTTTTTTTTTTTTTTGCTATTGTGTAGATGACAACGGGACACCAGCTCCTCCTATAAAGTCTCTCGAGGTTCTTGTAATTTCAGTTGAAGGTGTCTTGTCAATGTTCCGTAAACTGAAAGTAAAAAAGAGTTCTGGTCCAGACGGTCTACCGCAATTAGCTGAATTCTTAACCAAGATTTTTCAAGTTTCCTTACTTACCGGAGTAGCGCCAGATGACTGGAATAGAGCTCCGGTTGTACCGATTCACAAGAAAGGGGATAAGTTATTGGTGTCTAATTATAGGCCGATTTCAATTACTTGTAGTTGCTGCAAGTTATTGGAACACGTCGTGGCCGGTTATATTAAAAGCTTCTTACCTGAAAAGGGTATCTTATCGCCTAAGCCGCGTGGATTGAGGAAGGGAATGTCCACCGTCACGCAACTCGTTACGTCTGTTCATGAATCTCTCGCGATACTCGATGGTTCAGGGCAATGCGATGTTCTTTTTTTAGACTTCTGTAAGGCGTTCGATAAGGTGCCGCATGCAAAACTGCTTTATAAACTCGAACGCAGAGGACTTCCCTCTTACATTATTCTTTGGATAAGTGCCTACTTAAGAAATAGATCCCAATTCGTTGATGTTAACGGCCATATTTCAAACGTTCTATCTGTCACTTCCGGCGTGCCCCAAGGAAGTGTGTTGGGACCATTACTATTTCTTATTTACATAAATGATCTAACCGAAGTGGTCTCTTCGTCTGTTTCCATGAGATTGTTTGCGGATGACTGTATTGTTTTTAAAAAAATCAACACTGCTGACGACCATCTTGCACTTCAAGAATCTATTATCGAGATAGAGCACTGGTGTGAAGCTTGGGATATGGATTTGAATATTGAAAAAACTGTGCTTCTAAAAATTACACGAAAAAAACATATAAGCTCATTTGAGTATCACCTTCACAAGATTGCCATTCCTGAGGTCACTAGCTATAAATATCTAGGTGTTACCATTACTAATCGTTTAATTTGGTCTACACACATCTCAAATATTTACTCTAAAGCTTTCGCTAAACTGTGTTTTCTAAGGCGAAAGCTCAAACACGTCCCCAGTAGTGTTAAGCTCCTCGCATACAATACGTTCATCAGGTCAAAACTCGAATATGCATCAGTCATTTGGGATCCCCACAATAAAAAAGATATCCACCAGCTTGAACTTGTACAAAGAAAGGCAGTTAGGTTTATATTCAGTAAATACAATAGATTGAACTCGCCCACGGAACTTATGAGGGATAACCAAATACCACCTCTCGATACACGTCGGAAAATGACTCGTATTTTATTTCTTTACAACATCCTGACATCCAAGGTAAGCCTAAATACACTCCCATATCTCAATCAACTAACTTCAAGAAAAACCCGACACACTAGGGATCACGCACTACAGCCCATCTTCGCAAAAACAAATGCCTTTAAGTACAGTTTTTTTCCGCGCACTATTTCGGACTGGAACTTGCTACCAGAAGCCATTATTCAGTCAGCCATTTTCATTCAGGAATTAGAACGGTACCTTACTCGATAATGCATTCCGCAGCAGTGGTCTTGTCTTCTTTTGTATTATTGTTTTTGTCATTTTTTCATGTGCACCCATATGTTGAATTTTTTGCCCCTCCTGCTTGGGCCAGAGAACTGGCCTGCAGTATTGTAAAATAAATAAATAAATAATAAGTTAAGTGGATCTAGCCCCATGAAATAAATACAAAAATTGTTGTACATGATGGGTAATAAACAGCTCAAAAACGCGGGCAGCAAAAAACAGGTGGCATTCAAAACGCCGAAAATCAAAATGCCAAATTATCGGAATGCCGAAATTTAAAACACCGAATATTCAAAAAGCCGAAAATACAAAAATGTCGAAAATTCAAAAAGCCGAAAAGTCAAAACGTTCGAACATCAAAATGACGGCATCGCCTAGTTATAGTGGAAGATAAAGTTTCTTGGCAAGATAAAATTTCTTGGCAATGTGATCGAAGTTAGGGGAGAAGTTTCGCCGGCCGAAGTGCACGCGCTTTCGCCCTCTCTTTTATTAGCCATGAAAGGTTCATGGCTAATAAGAAGCCATGAACCCATGAAAGGTTCATGGCTTCTCATGGTTCAAGCCTTCAAAAAAGTAAAAATACATTTCTGCATATCTCGTCGCATAGCAGAGCGATTCCTTGTTGACTGCATTTCAGACAGATAAGTTGTGCGCAGTCCTCAAAGAAAGCTTAGAACGACGACATTGTCCCGGTTGCCCAGAGCCGCTGCCAAACTATTTTCGCGCAGCTTTTGCTTCTTGCTTTGTGAGCGGCGGGGTTGGCCTCTGATCACTCACCCGATACCGTCTTCGACTCTACCTTGCTCTCTTTTCATGGTGATGATGAGCCGGAAGACGCTTACGTGGTGTCCGTCAGCCACTATCTCCCATCGTCGGAGCCATGTCTCAACGGCGTTGTTGCCCTTTGGAAATCCGTTCTGAGCGAGGGCAAGCACATTCCAATGGGATGGCGGGAATACCGGTGGACTTCGTATGATCACGGCAGTGTTACCTCCGGCAACACGGCGGCGTGATTTCCCGAGCAGGTAATTATCCTCCCACCATCGCAGCAGGTCACAGGTTTTTTGCGGGAAGAGTGGTTTCAAGGACGCATAGGCATCTCGTCCTTCTTCGGTGGGCAAGAACGAAAGGGCTGCAAGCTGCCTCACCTTGATGGCGAAGCCACCTGCATAATTTTTGTAGAGCACTGCCAGTCCTAGGTGCTGCACTCGCCTCCATGCTGATTGGCACAAGTGGAACAAACAACCGTGCACATGCGACCACGGGAGCAAGAACCAAATAGCGTTGATTGCTGCCAGTTCGAAGTCTGTACTCTCAGTTTTTTGGATTTAATGCGAGTCTGACATCTGCGGCGAAGTTCAGCACTTCGAAGAGCGCCTCGTACGCCATCTGGGTTCGCCGAGTAATTAGAAAGTAAACAAAAGGGAACACATGGCTGTGAAGATGAACGTGAATTGTTTATAATTGTTCGAAGAGCGGCGCAGTCTTAAATGTTCCATCTATAAGCCACATTGGAGCGTCATTCAATTTTGCTCCAGTAGCTAGGTAGCGCGAAAGGAAACAGCATCACAGCGATAAAAATGTGAAACAATAATCTCAAGCGCAAGCTGTTTTGAAGGCAGGGGCTTCGCATAAGACAAGGTTTTTGCTCTTCACAGCACTCTTGGCATTGGTGTTGTTCTTGGAGCTTCGTGACAATGCCTTTCCGACTTTCTTGCACTACAATGTGTGCGAAAGTTTCTATATAAAAGAAGCCGTCTCGCAAAAAGCGCTGTCCCACCCCCTTTTTTTTACTGTGTCATTGCATCAGCATAACCAAACATGGTGGCGCCCTTGAAACAGAACAGACACTGGTCTATAGCTATCCTTGTGTTTTGTCTGACCTTAACGCGTTGGTAATTCAGAGCTACCTCAAAAAGCGTAGGAAATTGTGTGCTGTGAGGAAGCTTTTAAAGTTGGTGGGCCGGAATTACGACAACAGTAGAACAGAGAGCTACCACGCCCGTATTCCTGCAAATGAAGCCTGCTCCGGCCGTTTTATCTTAAGAGTACTTTGCTAATCATTGCGTGAGCGTCCGTACCACCGAGCTCACTCTGCTTCGTCATTGGAGGGGGGCGGGGGGGGGGGGAGAGGCAATTCATGCCATTGAACCCCCTCTCTCGAAATAAAATCCTGGCTACGCCACTGCCTAGGGGTATGGCTGAATGGGGGAAAACAATACGTAAAAGAACAGGAAGAAAATATGCTAAACAAAGAAAAAAGGAATGCAGTAATTATGAAGCATAAGGCACTATTTAAGTTAAAATTGATATGAAGCTGTTAGGGGAATATGAGAAGGAGTCACGGTGCCGGGGTTGTCTTTTGGCAATGCGGTATTATGCATAAAATTTGAGGCGCAGTCGGGCTTAGAGAGCCGGCAGAAGAGCGTGGGTAGACTGGCACTGGGGGCACATGCGAATACACCAAAAGAAGGACTGCAGGGATACATAGGTTGGGCATCTTTCGAGGGTAGAGAGGAGGTTAATAAGTTGAAATTTGAACATAAACGCTAAACAAAATTGAAGATTCACGATAGGGTGAGAAAGGTATATAAGCATCTATACATGAGGTGCACTTCTCTCCTTCTCTCTCCCTCCGGCAGACGACGCTATTTTTGAGCGTGGGCAACAACGGCAACAAGGCCGGAGAGGTGAATGACCTACGTCAGCAAAAGAGGCAAACGCGACGCACAAATTGGACAGAAATGCCGCGCAGCGTCAGGGCCCGGCTCAGTCAGTCAGACACGGCTCTGCAGTCAGTGAAGGTCTCTGCACAGCCAAACGCTGCATAGCGTGGCGCGCCGGCCCGCTTCGCTTGGCATGACGCGTTGCTGAAAGTCGTCATACATGGCCGGCATCAGACGCCAAAAATGGCTGCTGATGCCGGCCGTGTCTGACAAATTTCAACATCGTGTGATATCACGGAAACAAAGTTGGTCACGTGGCAAGCACCAACATACCGGTGAGCACAAGGAGAGAGAAATATTTGAGGGTCAAGGCTTTGGCAAGAAGGAAAGTTGAGTGCAATGGTTCGTGTTATTTCAGCCCAGAGGCGCTTTACTCGTTGCACGTGTCGCGCTACGACTCTGTCCTGAAACGAAGTTTTGAAGTCTGTGAACATGCGGTGACTCTAGATTTTTCCCCACAGGGTTTATTTTATTTATGTCGTATTTCTTAAAACGACGTCGCAATTGCAAACATTGAGTATATACAAAAAAAATAATTAAAACACGGAGGGCTGGTGCAGCTGCACCGCTCTGAACGTTAATCATCATCATCATGACAGTCACCGTTGGCTTGGTCAGTTGGCCAAGCCAGCGGACTGCGTTGCGAGGCTTCTGGTCCATTCAGATTATGGAACACAGCGGTACGGCGTTTAGCTGACCGCCTTCCTTGCACACGAAGTCTCTGGCCATTCGAAAAGAGTGTCTCATCGGTACTATGAGCCTGAAAGAAGAAAAAAAAATTGTCAATATATATTAGTGTTATCTACCATCACTAATTGACTTTTTTTTTGCATTAAGCAACTTCTTTTTGCTACGTAAGCTGTTGGCGGGACACGTGCTGAGTTTTCTCTTCCGCAAGAAGTTATCTTGTCAAAGATAATTAAAAATGTTTTGGTAATCTTTTAATTATTTTTGTAAAAAAAATGAGACGCCTACTCCGTATTTTTTAGCGCGTGTGACTTACGTAGGGGGATTGGGAAATGAATTCGAGGGGCCTCAGAAATTCACCCTTTGCAAAAAAGCAGAGCGTGTACAAGTACTCTTTCATGCAGTGAAGTGTTTATTCTCAAGCACGAGCTAACCACAGCAGAAAAAAAAATAGTTTCATGATCTTTTTTAGTTAATGTTTACAAAAGAAACGAGAGGGTGGTAAGTCGTCAGGACAGGGGTTGACGGGCAAACCAAGGACCATCAGGGATCCAAGGCCGGAAGTAGACGAAGGGGTCTGGCTGCTTGTCAAGCTCACCGGAGTTTATCTTCCAGGTCGTCGAGGTTGAAGTTTTTCTTATACTGGTCCGAATATTTTCTGCAGAGATTCTAAAAGAAACAACGGGTGTGGGGCTTTAACTGAGAGCGAGGCAGGCGAGCAGTGACTGGGCGAAAGGGACAGTACAGGCGCGACACAGGATTTTGCGTTATTCATGCAACGCACGTAACCGATCACTCAAACATAGGTGAGAACGAGAGCGATACACATTAAATCAGCACAAACTCAAGGCGTGCCTACGAAAACATAATTCGGTGAGCTATGAAACATTAGCACATCGTAAAAAAATACAAAAAAGCAAACTAAAAAAAAAAAATGCCAGGAGGCATTTTGTGCTCCCTTGCAATTTGCGGGGGAATATATCCTTTGTCGTGTGGGGCTGTATTTTTTTTTTGTTTTGCCTTACCTACTATTATATCTTATGTACAAGTTAGCATCCGGATCATGAAAAAAGTACAAAAACAATTATAGAGATCAACAAACGCAAAAAACGGCTTATTCGACAGTTTTGCCGTGTTAGGGTATTGTTGATTGTGAGTTGAACTGACCAACAAATACGGCGAGCAAGTTTGTCTGCTTCTTGCCCGGAGGTACCCTGATGTCACGGATCCGAGCTCCGACTAAAAAACATAATGTGTAGACAAAAAAAAAATGCTTCGAAGTCAAATGTTTTTAGGTGTTCGTTTTTTTTTTTTTTAATTGTTCAATCTAATCGTATTATCCAAGTTTGCAAAATATACGTCGTTTATCGGTAATACAAAGATAATAATTTCTCAAAACAGGCAAAAAGCTCACCTCACGCGAATTTATGCATTTATGAGAAGAGGCGTCGAGACGACTCGGGTAAGGGGGGGGCGGGGACATTTTTCGTTATTTCTCCCGTATTGTTTCCATCAAATTTCTAAAATATCTAAAAAGAGCCCCCCTTCCTCCCTTTCGTTTTGACGCCACTGGTACTGAGCACTTACTCTCGCGAATTGGAGGAAGAAATACTGGTGCAGAGTTAGCTTCAAGTTTCTCATGTTCGATTCCACAAACTGTTCCTCGTATTTTCCCATAAACGTAGCGTATGTCTGAAAGTGCAGGAGACAATTGTTAAAAATCCAGGGTGGGATTACCCAGGTTCATCGGTTTATATAATTTAAACACCCAAAAAGGGGGTCTGCTCAGCAGCTGAACCTGATCGGATAGCATATCCAAATGACGCAAGTTAACTTATTCATTCTCTTCGCTTAATTAAGGTATATCATTTGGTGAGAAACACATGTCTATACATGAGGTTGTTTCTGTTTGAGATTGGGAATCGATTCACTCTCGCAATCCGCTGGAGTTGTATGAAAAAAAAAAGCTTTGAAGCCGATCTTTTGTAATATTCCATAGTAGAGCCACCTGCGAGCTCATGGTGAATTCCACTGGTAGATCCGGGGCGCTTTCCGAAATACGCGAAGAAGGCGAAGTTCTGCTCCCTGGGATCCGCTCCGAATCGACCGGCGGAAGGTGGACTCAGATTTTTGGAGCGACCCACCGATTCGCCCGAGATCGTCGGTCTTTCAAAATGGTCTCTGCTCGAACTTGACAAGCCGACCAACACCTCAGCCTACTCATCTTTTTGGCAACTGGTGAGAACTGTCGCTGCCTAGCTGAAAAAATACCACGCGACAGAGACCGGGCGAAATTTTAAGTACCACGGAGCCCATGACACAAATAAGGAGCAAGACCTTTTCGTTCCCCACCGTAACATACCTTTCGGCCTCTTCAAAGTGGCGGGGCACGCGCAGCGATTGCCATTGGTGGAGTTCAGACTGCTGGTACGACTTTAATAAACACAAAGAGGTAACAAACCATCACTTGCACGGTAGTTTCCTAATCTGTTCTTGCTTTATTGCAAGGGAAAACGCCGGCGGCATGCAGTGTAAAAAGGGTACACAATCAGTGGCGGAAAAATGAGCAGGCCTAACCTAGAGTCACTAGCCTAACCTTCCGTCTGCCTTCAGATTTTTTGACGTCCTTTTTCTCGTTCCCCCTCTCACGATCACAGATGTCTGCGCTTACGATTTGCCACGCTCCAGTACCGGCTTTGTACTCTATACCGTCCCAATCTCGCGTAAACAGCCGACACGTCCGAGCAGATCCAACTCGACCGATACGACGGGTCGGTCGGCCTGTCCGGCGACCTTTTCGCGCGTGCGCACCGCCGGGTTAAAGGAAATGACGTAGCGTGCTTGGCAACTTCTGCCAAGATCTCTTAAATCCCGCGGATCAAGTTCGGTGGGGTCGGAGGCGCTCCACGGAGCGGGCGCTGCCAGAATTCTACGAGCGGAAGATGACCAAGTCGAGCCAGATCTGCGAGCAGAATATACGCGCTCCTAATGGAGCGCTTTTTGGAGCGCTCGACATTTGCCAGCGGAATTCACCATCAGTTCCGGTTAGGAAGTGCAGTCGGAGCTGCGCGCGTATAGAGTCTTTCGTTTTCCTAAATTGCCAAAAAATATTGTTTCCGCTTAGATAGCACGGCAAGAGACCACCTGAAGAGACTGTGCAACGATATTGTGTTTGAACGGTTTAGAAACCGCGTGGTGGTCATAATGGATACGAGCATCGCTTCGATCGACAAGGCGATTCCAGACACAAGTCGCAATGCAAAACGCACGCCGATTGTCTGAGTGACCACATCATGCCACGTTGACATCACCGTTTCTAGTATATCCAGAAAATACCCGTGCTCAAGTCGTAACACTCTTACATAAAGAGAGCAGGTGGGTTCTCTTCTCTTTTCAACAATAAAGTGGGTTTCAATTCTTTTACCCCCCATATAGGGTGTAGTTTGACAGCAGGGTGCTTACCTTATAAGCGAGGGAAAGCCCCCCAGAGAGGCAGACGACAGCTTGAAAAAGCTTAATGTAGTCGGTCTGAAACAAGGCGGCAAGTTTTCATCCAGTGACCACTTGATTTAAAACTTGTGGCCTTTTACCCTGAAGCCCTAAAATTCCCATCTAAGCAAAACTAATTTGGCTATCTGACCATAAGGAAACTCACCTACGACCTTGATCTTTTAAGTTCTAACCTCCCAACAAAAACAAACCAAATCTGACCGTTTGAACTGGAAAGAAATGACCCACGATCATGTCGTTTTAATTCAAGATGGTAGCCTTTGACAGATTATCACAGTTCGACGTAAGTGTTGCCCCTTATCTTGCACGCGCGACTTCACTGCGCCAAGCAGGGATCTGTGCTTGGACACGACAACCTACCGCTCTAGTGCACTAGCCCTAGCGATGTTTCTTTATCTTGACTAATGATTTCCTTGCCCTTTGTGTAACACAGCACGCACACACACCCGAACCGCACACAGCACGCAAAACACATACCCAAAACCCACGCGCGCACGCACACACAAACCACACACACATACACACGCTCACCACGCCACCTACATACACACCCGCCCCAAAACAGCACAATATTTAGGCTGCGAGACATATTTCGAGCTAGAATCCCAACCACGTCAGTCCCGTAACAGAAACATGTTTCGAAATTACTCGCCTAAGCACTGGAATGAAACTATGGCGATAACATGTTGTTTGGGGGGTAAAGTTAATGTTGTAATATGTCTGTCCCATTCAAACCCATTTTTTTTTTTTTTTTGCAAGAACGGTGGAAAAGGGAAGGGGGGGGGGGGGGGGGGGTTCAGCGTATTTTTAAGGCTTTTTAGAACAATTGTCTTCAGAACTGAATGATAAAGGCCGTGGAGCGTGGTGGCATGCAAATCTTTCTCCGATCGGAAGTTCGGAGATCTAAAGCGCCCACCTCGAGCAGTTGGCTCTGCAACGAGAGAACGTCCAGGTCGTTCGCGAAGCAGTTCATTGCTTCGTCCAGCTTCTCCTTGGTCTGATTGGAGTGCCAGTCTTCGAAATCCAGCTCGTCGTTGATATATGCTCCTGAAGATTAAAAAACAAACAGTGTTTAATTTTTACTTCCAACATACGTGTTAAAAACAAATAAAGAGTAGCCGCGAATCGTTTATTAATGTGCTCTATGCGAGTTCTACAGCCAGGGGGACAATATACAAGGAAATATTTATCAGAATAAGTACGATAATCAACTAAGTATGTTTTCATGAACCTTTCTATTGGCGAAAATAAACATGGTTCCGACTAGAAACTTACTGAGCGTCATAGAAAAGCACTAAATGAGTAAATTATAGAAATACTCGAAGCACATGGGATGCGCGGGGGGGGGGGGGGGGGGGGTCTAATGTTACCACTCGTACAACAGGCGCAAGCCTAGCGGAGCGAAAACGAGGGTGATAATAGTATCCTCCGCGTTCTCTCCCCGCCAGCCTTGAGCTCTTGAGCCCGTTGCACAAATTGCAATTTCAGCGTGTCACCGCGCTTCCCCATGCTTCGAGTCTTCCTAAAATTGACCCATTTTGTCATTTTCGATGACGCTCAGCAAGTATCTAATTAGAAACTTGCATGAGTTGGCAACGCGCGAGGCAATATTGCCGATACTACACATGGTTCCCAAGAGGACCCGGTGACTGGAGCCCATGTGGCGATTACCGCGCACTTAACATGGCCACGATACCGGATTGCTACTCCATACCCCGATGTCCAATACCTTCACAGCGTTCTTAACTGGCACGACGATCTATTCTAAAATTGACCTCTTAAAAGGTTGAACACCATTGAGCGAATATGCGGCAAGAACCGAGGTACTTTGTCCTGCGGCGCGTTCGCTTTGGGCACGGCGGAACAGTAACTCTTCTGACACCACGCGCAGAGCAAACGCCGCCGGGCGAAATTAGTCGTGTTTTTTTTTTTGCTCCATGGAGTCCAGTTTTAAGGGCATACCACCAGATACCCGTTGAGCCTGCCGACGAGCCGCCAAGACAGCAATGTCGACTCCCTTCAGTTTGTTTGACTTTGTCACGATGTCGTTTGGACTATGTAATGCAGCCCATACATTTCAACGATTCATCGATCAGGTCATCTGCGGCTTACCTTTCTGCTATGAGAACGTCAACGATCTCCTCGTCACGACATGAATGACCTCAAAAAACGCCTAAATCAACTTTTCAGCCGGCTGCAAGACTATGGCATCCTGTTCAGAATCGACAAGAGTCAGTTCAGAGTAACGGAGTAAACCTTTCTTGGTCACCAAATCTACTCTCAAGGTATCTGACCTCTAAAAACAAGGTCAAGGTCATCATGTATTATCCTAGACCAACAACAGAGCGCGCGCTGCGGCGATCCTTAGTGCTCGTTAATTTCTACAGGCGCTTCCTTCCACACGTGCCACCATTCTACACATACTGGAGGCACTGCTTTCTGCCACCAAAGCAAAGAATTTCCTGCTGACATCGACTTCAGAGGTGACGCTGGTCGTCGAAAAACTAAAAAAAGAACTCGCCAGTGCTACACTTTAGATGCACCCTTCCTCAAATGCAACGACGTGACTTATGGTAGACGCCTTAAACGTCACAGTATGTGGCGTATTGCAACAAAATTAAACGATGCATGATCACCCATCTCGTTCTTTTCACGAAAACTGCAAGACGCCGACACCATTTAGAACACTCTAGGAACAGAGCTACTTGCAGCATACTTAGCCATCAAACACTTCAGGCACTTTCTTGAAGGGCAAGCGTTTTTCATCGCCATCGACCACAACCCCCTGGTCTACGCCATATAAAAGGCAAACGAAATCTAACAGCACGAAAACTGCGACATTATTTCGTTATCGCTTCTGATATCCGCCACGTCAAAGGATCAGAAAACAGCGTCGCAGACACGTTGTCCCGTTTAGACATCAACGCCATCAACATGCAGAAGGAGCACTTCACCTATGCTGAGCTTGCCGCGGCTCAAACACACGACCATTAGCTTCAGTACATAAGACAGGCCAACACGTCCATCGTTTTAAGAAAATCGTTTTTCCCGAGCATGATGTCACCTTGATTTGTGACACTGCCAAAGAAAAACCCCGGAAGTACACCTGCCGGCAATATGAGGGTGCACACCGTTTCTTGCCTGTTTTACGGCTCCCGAAAGCTATATTAACTCTCAACGTCTCAAATGGTACGTGGCTTGGGGTCTAAATTTTACGTTCTAGCCCTCTTCTGGAACAGAGCTTGTTCCGAAACTTGCAGGAGCGTCAAAAACAAGAAGAGGGATGTTCACCTTCATATCGCTCACGGGTGTACGTGCCACATCAATTCGAAACACGCGTATTGACATCCCTGTACAATCTTTGTCACCCAGTCGTACGTGCAACCCAAGATCAGCGCCGATATTCGAGCATTGGTAAGCTGTTGTCCACTCTGTCAGATATAGAAGATACAGCACCATACACAAACACCACTAGGACAGTTCCCTTTGCCTTCGGCATGCTTCGACAACGTCCACGTGGACATTGTTCGCCCACGTACACCTTCACGGGGCTTAAGTTACTGTAGGATGGGACCTCCGCTTTTATTCGTGCCTTGGGCGGAACTGTGCCAGTGCCGAAGCCACGTACCGATCTCGCGCCCATGCCCCCGGGATCGTTTGTTCCTTGATCCACACTACTTACTCACTTGCGTGGACCGATTTTCCTTCTGGTGAGGGCCCGTACTCTTGGATAATACAACCGCAGACGCGGTAGCTCGAGCGATAGTTTCCCTCTGGATCAGCCGTTCTGGGGTTCCTTCAGCACTAACCACAGACCAAGGCCCCCAGTTCGAGTATGCCTTATTCCAACAACTCACATCGCGCCTCGGCTGTCTGCGGAAAAGCACTACAGCGTACCACCCTGCCGCAAATGATGTCGTTGAGCGCTTCCACCGGCAGCTAAGGTCCGCGCTCCGAGCTTATCCTTTCCCTGACGCATGGTTTGACAACTTGCCTGTCGTGCTGCTGGGCCTGCGTTCAACCATAAAGTCGAACCTGGGTTGTACCGTTTCAGAGCTCGTTTGCGGCTCACCCCTTAGTCTCCCTGCCGACATGGTGCAGCCGCCCATGTCACAAGCCACCATAGACCCAACAAGCCATGTCCAACGACTCCGTGAAGCAATGTTCTTTGCGTCCGACACAAAAAACGACAACCCCCCTCATTACAAGTCTTCATACGTCCTGGTCTTGCCCAATCTACGCAAGTGTTCAGTCGCCGGGAGGCCCCCCAAAAGTCACTTAAGCCTGTATATAGGAAGGGCCCATACCTTGTTGTGGAGAGAACTTACAAATTCTACGCGGTCCTTCAAATGAGCCGTTGAGAGACTTTTTTACTGGATCGCCTAAACCTGCATGTTTATCTCCTCTGGGCATAACAACGAGAGTGTCCCAGCGACGCGCTGTCGCCTACACCACGCCTTTAGCACAGGTACCTCAGGCCACTTGTACCAGGGGGGCGCATTTGTTGTAGTGGCGCCATGGTACCACAGAAGTCGGCTAGCGCAAGCCCAGAGCAGAAACCACGGGCACCACACACACGCGAGACGGGAACCTAACGACCCGTCCGCAAGATCAAGTGATGCGAACCTCCGTCTGCTTTAAATTGTAAAAAGTTGTACATGAAATCCTGTATGAGACCGCACTACTGGCTGCTACACAAGCTACGTAACAATTAGCCCATCTTTCTATCTTAAGAACGAGAATATCTTATTTTTTTTTTCTCTCTTTTGCTTTCAACAAAAGGAGAGAAAGCGTATATGTAGGTTTAGCCCAGAAACCCGAGGAATTATTTTATAATTATTATTTGGGATAGTATATGCCTCACCATCAAATAGAATGATTTCCATCATCTTGGTGGCGATTATTCCACCCAGGCTGCTAAAAGCGTATATTCTGCAAAAAAAAAATAAATTAAATGTGTAAGTCATTTTTTATAATCTCAAAATGTTATTTATTGCGCGTCATAATCAAGGTTTGAAAAGATTTCACCGACAGCTTGAAAAAAGCAGAATGTACGATCACGTTTCACGGTTGATTCTTCGGCGCGTTTTTGTCGGTTGGGGCCGCGATCTGATTTTTTGTGAAGCCACATTAAAATGCTCGGGACAAGCCACGCTCTACGCTTCTTAGGCTGTCGGTGACTACACGCCACCGCGCTGTTCACCAACAAGCCCTCGTTGGCCGACACCGGGTGCGGGCACGGAGCGCGCGTAGAAACCAGATTCGAGAGAAGCGAAGCGTCTGCAACTGCGCAGCGCCGACGGCAGCACCACCGCTTTGACGTAGTGTCAGTGGGCTGCGTTGGTTTGCTGCGTATACCAGAATGTGACAAAAAATATAAAGCACTTACGGGGGTAGACCTAACAAACTGTTTTCCGGAGGCAATAGTAAAGCCGGTATCACTGAAAAGAAAAAAAGAAAAAGAAAAAAAAAACAGCCGCAATTGCAGAACGAAATAGTTTCGACCAGTTTGATGTTAACAACGTACAGTATACTTGTTTACTGGCTCCTTCCAAAAACTACCCATAAACAAATTTTATCTAAAAACGTGCAAAAAAAGAAAAAAGGTGTGTTTTGAAAAATTAAATAGCAATAAGATCATAATCTACGCTCTGACACAGTGAGACATAAAACAATTAACGGACACAGAATGTTTGAAATAACTAGGCTCGATCTTAAATGGGCCGTAAAACTAGTCGTCTGCACGGAGAAATCGAAACTTTTTATCAAGTGTGTATTTCACAGATAGGCTTTATATTGTAAAATTACAAAGGCGTAGCTCCCTTTTTGTGGAAAAATGGGACCAAAAAGCTTGAAAGAGTCAACGGCGGACGGCGACGACGATCGAGTCGAGTGGAGGGGCGCGTTTGGTTCACGTCGGAAGACGTGCCCCAAACGTCGAACGTCGGAAACAGCGTCGGAAGCATCGTCGGAAGCAGCGTCGGAAGCAGCGTTGGAAGCAGCGTCGGAAGCAGCGTCGGAATAACGCCGACCAGCGAAAGAAAGCA